TTAATGGCTTATAGTGTTTGTTTACATTGTATCAATTACTTCAAGAACAAAGTCAATTAACTTGTTTGTAAGTTTTAGGTAGTAATAAAGTATCTTTCACAGGATAGATACAATCAATGGTTTCTACAGACAGTAGCTTACGAGTTTTAACAGAAGACCCAAGAGATTTTTGTACTTGGTGAAACTGTTGGATTTTAAAGTGTGGGGGACAAATTATGAGGGGGTCACTGTCACTTGGGGGAATCACTGTTAGTACCTTCTTTAATATCCCTACATCTGTGTACCTGACCTTAGAAATATCGGCTGTCTACCTGTATCTCAAACCTGTGTTGTGTGTCTGGGTGACACCCCCCAGATTGACATCAGGGCTAGCTAGCGAGGTGTTCATGGCCCATTAAGGACACTCCACTCTCACTATGGGCCATTGAAGAAACTCATCCCACCCAGTAGGCCTTTCCTGTGGATGCCTCAGACAGCGAGGGGCCAATGGCTGCCCCCATCATTCAGCAAACCATGTAAGGACATGTGGTGTGGACATGTGACCCTGGGCTCCATCTTGGGCCAGTAACTTTCCATACACAGGGGCCGTGGGCTTTGTCTGGGACAGTACATTTCCGTGCACATGGCAGAGGATATAAAAGACACCGGAGACATCTCCACTTTGCCTCTTTCCTGCTCCTGTTCTCTAAAAGGAGTGTTTGGAGCTGTGGACTGAGGGCCTTCCAATCTTTTGGCAGTTACCAGAGAGAGACTTTTGTAAGCCCAGGATCTGTTCCACCTCTGCTGTGATCCTGATCTATGAACACTGCAAATCTCTTGTATGTATGTGATTCTTTAACCATTCAATAGCTCTTTTATTAATAAATCTTGTGTTAGTTTATGAAGGATTGGCTGACAACGTGATATTCAGGTAAGACCTGAGAGACACATTGACCACAAAGAGATCCTTCGGGATCAGTCGAACCTCACATCTGGTGAATTGGGTTTTCAGTACACTCCCCCCTCCCCCCACTAGATTAGACCTGTTTGTCAGGACGGGAGCCAAGGGCTGGAATGCCTAAAGGGGACTGTTTGGCTTCTGGTTAGCCAGTGTGGTGCTGCAGAAGCTCTTTTGTTACCGGTTCAGTGAATCTAATTATAGAGAAAACCACCAGTTTGGGGAGATTGTCTGCCCTGTTTCTTGCAGTCTGCCCTGAGTGTGGCATTCACCATGTAGCCCATCCCAGGCACCTGGTCACAATGTTTATTACAATAGCCCAGTGCCCTGCAGTACAAAGGGGACTTTGTGTAACACAGAAGATATAGGGACAATTCCTTGGACAGCTCACACTTAGAGCCCATCGTCCTTTCTGAAATGACAAAGGTGCTGCCCAATATGGAATGTTCCTTATTCTCAAAACATAATGAAACTTTCCATAGTGGTTCAGCAAGCATGTGTCTAGCACCTCATGGGAACATCACACCTAGGTTATGTTTATAGTAACGGCAAGATAAAATAAATCCTTGGTAGAACGCAGCGTCAGATGCCTCGTGACTCTTTGTGTTTTCAGTCTGTCATTAAACCAGGCTGAATTGTATGTTAAACTGTCCAATGTCTGATCCACCTCACTCTTTAAAGAGATGCCAAGCCGGAACACCTCCATAAAGGTCAATGGAGTTACTCCACTCTTAAAATCTTGCAAAGATCCACCCATCACTCACCTGTATTCCGGGCTGACCAGCTACCTAACAGCATATTACCATGGTGGTATCTAAACACCTCTGTTATAAGGAGCTATCAACATGTCTATGTAATATACTAGTCTGGGGTCTGAATTCTTGTCTCTCTCTAGCTTCTGGTCCCAGTAATTGCACAAACCCCATGAGCTCAAAGCACCCCACAGTAGCTGTCAAGTGGTAGATGCCTGAGCTGCCCTGCAGCTGAAGCCCCGAGCCCCAGCAAGTGCTTCCCGCAAGGCAGAAGCACCAAGCTCCCCCCGCCCCAGTCTGGTAGGTGGAAAATGGGGGGGGGGGGACATGGAGTGCTTCGTGAGCCACATTTTAACTGTAAAAGAGCCGCATGTGGTTCAGGAGCTGGGGTTTGGCCACCCCTGGATTACAGTATTGCCTAGAGGCCCCTGCTGAGATCAGAGCCCCGTCATGCTAGAATCTTGCTGCACACACAAAATGAGAGACTGTCCTTGCTCCAATTACTCACAATCTAAACAGACAAGGGAGACAGAGGAAGGATTCTTATTTTACAGACACAGAGACCGAGTGACTTGCCCAAGGTCACTGGGAGTCAGTGGCAGAACTGAAACAGTGTTCAGCAAGGTTCGGGGTTTGGTACACAGAGACCTCTGCCTTAGGGTGATCAGATGTCCTGATTTTATAGGGACAGTCCGGATATTTGGGGCTTTTTTTAATATGGGCTCCTATTACCCCCCACCCCGTCCTGATTTTTCACACTTGCTGTCTGGTCACCCTACTTTGCCTGCTTAACACAAGGGCAAACACCCCATTGAAAAGCCTTTTCACCAGCCAACAAGATAATGCGTTAATGAAGCAGGTGGGGTAGTTCATAACTCAATGCAGCATTAAGGGCCCGGCTATGCCCATAGCTCCGGGCTGGCTTTGGGGCAGGAGAGGCAGGAGTCACACCTCTTTAAGGGGATGGGGGGAGGGTTGGGGCACAGTCTCTCCCAAAGCTCCAGGGAGCATGCCCATTGCCCCATGCAGCGGTGGTACACCCCAGGGGCCGTGTCCTAGGCTATGTTGCAGGGACGAATGCAGAGATGGTTTATGATAGCCACATACGCGCCCTCTCCCCGCTCTCCTGCATGCCTCTGCATGAGAGGCTTCCACTGTCTCGCCCAAAATGCGTGAAGAGCTCAGTGTGGCCAGAGCTTGTCTCTCTCCCCAACAGAAGATGGCCCAGTAAAAGATATTGCCTCCCCCACCTTGTCTCTCTAATGCAATAGGCGTCTGCCTGAGTAATTCCCAGCTCCCTCCCACCCTCCTCTGAGGTCTCCGGAACCTCGGCACACCCTGCGCTGCTGCAGCCAGGGGTGACTCTTTGAACCTGCTCCCCTCCACAGCTCTCAGACTCCTCGCCCCTTTCGCTCTGCAGCCCGCAGACCTGTTTCCTAGCCCAGTGGCTCTCAACCTTTCCAGACGAGTGCCCCCCTTTCAGGAGTCTCATTTGTCTTGCGTAACCCCAAGTTTCACCTCACTTAAAAACGACTTGCTTACAATATCAGACACAAAAAGACAGAAGTGTCACAGCCGCACTATTACTGAAAAATTGCTGACTTCCTCATTTTTACCATATAATTATAAAATAAATCGGCTGGAATATAAATATTGTACTTACATTTCAGTGTATAGTGTATAGAGCAGTATAAACAAGTCACTATCTGTATGAAGGTTTAGTTTGTACTGACTTCACTAGTGCTTTTTATGTAGCCTGTTGTAAAACTAGGCAAATCTCTAGCTGAGTTGATGTACCCCTGGAAGACCTCTGCGTCCCCCCAGGAGTACGCGTCCCCCTGGTTGAGAACCACTATCCTATACCCAACCCCTCTGCCATGGCTGCAGACACTATTGTAATAAAGGGTTTTTCCGGTCTCTGAAACATCCCAGCTCTGCCCTGGGGACTTCTGGGAGTAAGATCACTTCCTGGCTTGCTCTACTTCCCTTATCAGGTTACAGTTGCAGGGCTGGGCCAGAAGCAACGCCTGAGACCCAGAGCTACAGCAGCAAGCACTCGCCAGGGCCCCAGACTGCAGGGGGAAATTTTCCGGCTGTTGCAGCTGCGAGGATCCGCTTGCCATGCAGGGAGGAGAAGCTGAAGGGGCAATGCCAGCCGGGGCCACTCTGCAGGTAGGAGACAGGCAGTAAAGTGTGCTGCTGTGGTGAGACAACAGGCCATATTCGGGGCTGGTGTGAACAGATGCTACTTCATCTGTCAGTTGCCCTGCACCAGGCAGGTCTGAATGTGGCCCACTGAGGCCCATCTAGCCCTGCCTCCATTTAGCAAGGGGCAGATCCCATTTTCCTCAGCGCAGCTGCCTGACTGATCTCCTGGCAAAGAGCTGTCTGTGTCCGAGCATCCTGCTGGAAAGTGACAGTGGGCACCTCTGAGAGGGGCAGTCAGGACCTGACAGGCCCCCATCAGCCATTTTCCATGGGGCTAGTACGCTGAGGAGAAGGCCTGAAGTGTTGAACGTTCTCACTGCAAAGCGCCTTGCTCTAATAATGCTGGTTGGGGGTGCGGGGGTGGTTTAAATACATGTTCTTTGTTTATTTCATCCGAATCTGGGCTCCTACTGAACAACAAAACTCTCCGCTGACAGCAGTGGGAGTAAAACGGGGCCCTTCGCTTGCACGTAACAAGTTATCTTCCAACTTTCTGTTGGTTTGGGTGTCAGGGCCCGAGGCAGCTCCCCATGCTGACATCCAGAGAGGGGGAGACTGTCACTAGAATGGTCCCACACCACCCTCCAGCTGGCATTTGAGCTTGTCAGTTTCACGGGGCAGTTCTCATGCGGTATCACAGTGCCGCAAAGTTTAGATATCAATTCAAGCCAATAATGTTATGAAACCATTTCAATTAACATCAGCTTGTGCAGCCCCTTTTCCTTTTAGAAAGCTCAACACTGGCCTTAATCTACCTAGTGCTGCCCCTTCTAAACCCCTCTCTGTTACAAATCCTGGAACATTTCCCTTTACCTGTCCTGGGGCAGGGACTGTCTCTGTGTCTGGATAGTGCCGAGCATAATAGGGCTCCAGCCTCACTTGGAAGAAGAGGCGCAGTGAGCATATTGTAGGTGCAATATAGTTCAAAGCCCACGGCTAATAAAGACACGTGACAAGCCTGCCACCCTGCAAAATGTCATAGTGGTTATTTATTACATCTAGCAAAGTAACCTGCATTACACAAAGCAAAACAAATTCTGTGTTGCTTCCTCAAGCTCGCTCTGAATGAAGCTCTCAAAATAACAACCTACTGTAGTGTAGTGGTTAGAGCAGTGGATGGGGAGCCAGGACACCGACCTGCTGTTTCCGCTCTGGTACTGACTCAGTGTATCAAATAATTTAGGCCAAAGCGATATAAAGTGGCCACTGATTTTGGGTGCAGGTGTCAGGAGGTGGCTGCAGAGAAGGTGCTGAGTAACGCTTGCAATTCCAGGTCCCGGTGACGTTTGAGGACGTTGCCATCTATTTCTCCCGGGAGGAGTGGGAGATGCTGGCAGAGTGGCAGAAGGAGCTGTACCGGGACGTGATGAAGGAACATTATGACAATCTGATTTCCCTGGGTAAAAGTCCATTTTCTTTTTATACTGTCTGAGCTTTGCAAAATTCACCCATGTGTTTGAAGGGTGGAGCTCACCTCCAGTCATGCATTTCCTAAATTGCTGGGCCTGTTACAGTAAATCCCTAAGGAGGGTTTACAAAAAACTGAACAGCTTTGTTCCTGTTTTCTATTTCCAGCTGTCATGTGTCCACACAAAAAGCAACCGTATTGTTTCAATCCAAAATGACGTGTATTTTAGATTAAAGGAAAACAGCAACAAGAAAGAACAAAAGAAAAGTCTCCATGAAAGAGCCAAGTTCCCTCCCAGCTAACCTAAATCTTCCTTGCTGCAAACTAAGCTAACTACTTCTTGTCCTACCCTCGGGGGACATGGAGAACAATTGGTCACCATCCTCTTTCTGACAACTCTTAACATATTTGAAGACTGTTATCAGTTTCTCCCACCCCCCTGCCTCCCAGACTTCTCTTCTCTAGATTAAACATGCCCGGTTCTTTCAACCTTTCCTCAAAGGCCAGGTTTTTTAAATCTTTGATCATTTTTGTTGCTCTGCTCTGGACTCTCTCCAATCTGTTCTCTTCCATAACCAGCTGCAGCAACTCTGATAGCAAAATGGCTGCCTCCCCTGCAGAGAGGCAGAGGTCTAAGGGCAGGTCTACACTAACCCCCCAAGTCGAACTAAGGTACGCAACTTCAGCTACGTGAATAACGTAGCTGAAGTTCGAAGTACCTTAGTTCAAACTTACCTCCGTCCAGACGCGGCAGGCAGGCTCCCCCGTCGACTTCGCGTACTCCTCTCGTCGAGCTGGAGTACCGCAGTCAACGGCGAGCACTTCCGGGTTCGACTTATCGCGTCCAGACAAGACGTGATAAGTCGAACCCAGAAGTTCGATTTGCTTGCCGCTGAACTACCGGGTAAGTGTAGACCTACCCTTAGAAATGTAAAGGAAAACAAAGGTGTAACAGTTTCAAGCTACATACACCAAGCTAGCTGCAGCCACAGCTTCTTGCAAGCCCGTTGTTCAGAGGACTGGCCTCAAACTTGCAGTGGAGGCCTAGGCTGTAACCAGAAAGTTTGATTTTTAAAAGTGATTTAAGGGCAGGGGAGGGACGTAATTGGGATCGTACTGCAAAAGGTGCATCCATTTCTAAGGAGCAGCTGGATGGTGGAAGGGGGAATACCTTGATATCTATGCTTTAAATCCATTCATAATACACGGTGCCATTAGCAAAGGGAAGGAACTGGTGTCAAACCATTCACACGGCTTTGTAACAAGCATCCCATGGTGGCAATCCAAACTATAACATCCTCTGATCTGCGTCCCCACAAACAGGCCATGCAGGCACCAAGCCTGACGTTTTATCCTGGATCGAACAAGGGGGAGAGCCGTGGGTCGTGGATCAGAAGGAGGAAAGAGAGAGGCTGGAATGCAGCTCGCTTGGTGAGTAGTTATAACCTAAACTGTATCAGACCTGCTCTGACTATAGACCCCAGGGCTGAGGCAGGTGCCCGTGTCACAGGCTCCTGCCCCAGTCTCTCTCCCGCGTGGTTTTCGTAAGCAGGGCTGTTTTGGCAAGTGTCAAACCCACAAACATGCATGCCCAGCTCACCCCCTCCACCGGCTGACTCTTTGGCCCAGGGTTGAGCTGGGGAGCTGGCAGCAGGCAGTACACTCCCAGGATTAATAGGGGGTTTGGGCAGAAATCTTGCTCCAAGTCAGAATCCCAACCAATCTTACTTCCCAGTGCAGTGTCAGACCCACCCACACCCTCCCTAATCACTGGCATTATCACCTCCTGCATGCCTTTCAGAGGCCCTACATATAGCCTTTTTATGTTCTGTCCCAAGGGTTAAACCAAGTCCCTGCTGGTGCAACTCCACTGAATTTCACCTACTGTCTCCACTCCCAGGCTCTCCAGAACCCTCCAGCCCTTCCCATACCTCTCTCAAAGCATTACCCTAGGGCAGGGCTCCAACCAAAGCAGTAAGTGCCCTAGGATCATAGCAATGTAGGGCTGGAAGGGACCTTGGGAGGTTATCTAGTCCAGCCCCCTGCGCTAAGGCAGGACCAGGTAAACCTAGACCGTCCCTGACAGGGGTTTGTCCAACCTGTTCGTAAAAACCTGCAGTGACGGGGATTCCACAGCCTCCCTTCGTAACCTGTTCTAGTGCTTAACTGTCCTAAGAATTAGAAACATTTCCCTCCCAGCCAACCTAAATCTCCCTTGCTGCAAACTAAGCTAATTACTTCTTGTCCTCCCCTCGGGGGATATGGAGAACAATTGGTCACCATCCTCTTTCTGACAACTCCTAACATTTGAAGCCTGTTATCAGTTTCCCCCGCCCCCCTGCCTCCCAGACTTCTCTGCTCTAGATTAAACATGCCCGGTTCTTTCAACCTTTCCTCAGAGGACAGGTTTTCTAAACCTTGGATCATTTTTGTTGCTCTGCTCTGGACTCTCTCCAATTTGTCCTTAAGTGCGGCACCCAGAACTGGGCACAGTGCTCCAGCTGAGACCTCATCTGTGCTGAGTAGAGTGGAACAATGACCTCCCATGTCTTACATACGACACTCCTGTTAATACACCCCGTAATGACATTAGCCTTTTTCACAACTGTGTCGTAGTGTTGAATCATAGTCAATTTGTGATCCACTATAACCACAAGACCCTGTTCAGTAGTGCTATTTAGCCAATTATTTGCCATTTTGCATTTGTGCATTTGATTTTTCCTTCCTCAGTGTAGCCCTTTGCACTTCTCTTCACTGAATGCCATCTCCCTGCTTTCAGAGCAGTTCTTCAATTTATCACCATCATTTTGAACTCTAATCCTGGCCTCCAAAGTGCTTGCAACCCCTCCCAGCCTGAGTTCATCTGTAAATTTTAGAAGCATATTCACTACTCTATTATCCAAGTCATTTAATAAAATTATTGACTAGTACAGACCCAGAACAGACCCTTGCCAACCCCACTTCATAGATCCTCTCACTTTGACAGCGAATGATTGATAACTACTCTTTGAGTTCAGTTTAGCAACCAGTGGTGCACCCACCTTATGGTAATTTCATCTATACAACGTTTCCCTAGTTTGCATATGAGAATGTCATGTGGGACTGTGTCAAAAGCCTTACTAACATCAAGGCATATCACATCTACTGCTTCCTTCCTATCCACTAGCCCAACTACCCTGCCAAAGAAGGAAATTAGATTGGTTTGACATGATTTGTTCTTGACAAATCCATATTGGCTGTTACTTACATTATTATCCTCTAGGTTTGAACAAACTGATTGTTTAATAATTTGTTCCACTATCTTTCTGGATATCGAAGTTAGGCTGACTGGTCTATAGTTCCCCAGGCCCTCCTTTCCCCTCTTTTTAAAAATAGGCACGATGTTTGCCTTTCTCCAGTCCTCTGGGTCTTCACCCATCCTCCGTGAGTTCTCAAAGATAATCCCTAATGTTTCCAAGAGGGCTTCAACTGGTTCCTTAAGTACCCTAGGGCAGTGGTCCCCAAACTTTTCAGGGTCGCACCCCCCTTTGCCCCGTCCAGCCCCCCAGAGCCAGGGCCGGGAGCGGGGCCGCTGCTCCCGGGGTAGGGTATGTGGACAGGAGTAAGGGGGCCGAGATTGGGGCCACAGCTGAGGGTGGGTCTGGGACCAGAAGCAGGACCAGGAACGGGGCCAGAAGCCGGGGCTGCGGCTGGGGGCGGGGCTGGAGCAGAGCTGGGAGCAGAGCATGGCTGGGTGGTGCTCCCTCCTTGCCCCCCATGGGGGCTGCCCTGGGCCCCACCAGTCCCCTGAATTTTCCTCCGTGTCCCCTTATGGGGGTGCACCCCACAGTTTGGGCACCTCTGCCCTACGGTGAATTTCATCAGGCCCTGCTGACTTAAATGCATCTAACATCCAAATATTCTTTAACCTCTTCTCTCCCTATTTTGGCCCAAGATCTTTCCCCTTTGTCATTAATATTAATTGTGTTAAGCATCTGCTCACAACTGACCTTTGTAGGAGTGTCCCATTTTTAGGGGTATCCCCTGTCATTGCGGATTAGCTGATTCTGCCATAGAAACCCCTCCCCCCACTGCGGAGGAGTAAACCATGAAGTAATGTCTGGATTCTCTTCTCCAGAGGGTGCAGGCCTGAGCAGAACTGAGGAGCAGCAGCAGGAGGAAGGGCCTGAGAACTTGGAGCCACAGGGGACTTTACCGAGTAGGTCGGAAGAGAGAGTTTTCCAGAGTCCTGAGCAGGAAGAAACTTGCCAGAGGCAGCGCAGGTCGCTGAGGCTGCAGCGGATCTCACCGAGGAATGAGCCAGATGCCCCAAGGGACTGTGAAAGGGGTGGCCAGGAACCTCCGAGGCTCCCTGCGCAGGAGAGACCGAAGACGAGCCAGAGCCCACCTACGTGTGAACTCAGCTTTGAGGGAGAGAGAGACCTTAGCACAGACAAGTGCAGTGTCCACAAGATAAAGGATCCACACCAGTGCCAAGTGTGTGGGAAGTGCTTCCGGCTACGGCAGGACCTCAGGAGGCACCAGAGGATCCACACGGGGGAGAAGCCCTACCTCTGCCTTTACTGTGGGAAGAGGTTCAGCCAGACTGCCAATCTCTGCACCCACAAGAAGATGCACAGAGGGGAGCGGCCGTACCCCTGCACCACCTGTGGCAAGAGCTTCCGGCAGAAGCAGCAGCTGTTGTCACACAGCCGGATCCACACGGGAGAGCGGCCCTACCCCTGCACGCAGTGCGCCAAGAGCTTCCGCTGTAAGCAGGGGCTCAGGGTCCACCAGAAAACCCACGTGGGAGAGGGAGGCTCTGAGGGGAGCCAGGCCAAAGGGCGGGTCTTCACCTGCCCCAAGTGCAAGGCTGTCTTCACTCACAGGCACGACTTCCTAGCGCACCGGCGAGTGCACGCCACCAGCGAGCAGCCCTACCAGTGTGCCGACTGCGGGAGGCGCTTCAGACAGCGGCAGCAGCTGATTCCGCACCGCCGGATCCACACCGGGGAGCGACCCTACAGCTGCCCTCTCTGTGGGAAGAGCTTCCGGCGCATGCAGGAGCTGACCACGCACCAGAGAATCCACACGGACGAGAGGCCCTTCCGCTGCCCCGAGTGCCCGCGCAGCTTCAGGGAGAAGCAGAAGCTGAAGAGACACCAGAGAATCCACACAGATGAGAGGCCCTATGCCTGCCCAGAGTGCGAGAAATGCTTCCGGCAGAAGCAGCAGATGGTGTCCCACCTCCGGATCCACACGGACGAGCGGCCCTATGCCTGCTCGGAGTGCGGGAAATGCTTCCGGCGGAAAGACTCCCTCACCAAACACCAGAGAACCCACCAAAGGGCCCAGACATAGGGCTTGTCTACACTACCACTTAAGTCAATGTAACGTACATCGCTCGGGGATGTGAAAAAGTCCCGCCCTCCTCCCTCCCGAGCAACGCAAGTTACATCGACTTAAAGCACCGTCCACACCATGCTATGTCGGCAGGAGACACTCTCCCGCCGACATGGTTTCCTCCTCTCGTTGAGGTGGAGTAATTATGCCGACGGGTGAGCGCTCTCCCATCACACAGTGCATCTTCACCATACGCGCTACAGCGGCGCAGCTGCATCGGAGCGTGGTAGTGTAGACTAGACCATAGTCAATGCAGTCGTCCTGCCCCAAACTCCCTCCTCGTTTCCTCCACGGAGGGGAAACCCCTTCTGCAGGGACTCAGAGAAACCACCCCCGGAGCCATCACCCCTTCATAGCTCTCGGCAGAGAACAGAGGGGAAGAAACACCACAGACACACATCCACCCCGGAGAAGGCGAAGGAGCTGCACCTCCATTCCCTCAAAGGGTCCAGGCAGCCACAGTCTCACATTTATTGTTTCTTTGATGTATTTGAATCATTATAGAGGGACTTTGTCCTTCCTGTGAACCCCGGTAAAGCCCTTCTGTTCTCTCCTCTGTGTAGTTGTCCTAGGACAGGCAGGATTTCCGAGCTCTCTGTATTTCCCTGCCCTGTAAAGGGGCAGGTCGGTTGGGTGTATGTGAGGTTCCCTGTGTGGTGGGAGAGGCATACGCAGGTGAAAATCATGACACGGTGCAGTAGTTTAATAGATTCATAGAGCTGAAGGCCAGAAGGGACCATTAGATCATCTAGTCTCACCTCCTGTCTAGTACAGGCCAGTCAGTTTCACTCTGTTACCCCTGTATTGAACCCAGTCACTTGTGTTTGACTAAAGCATCTTCCAGAAAGGCAACCAGTCTTGATCAAGAGATGGAGAATCCACTCTTTCTGCGGGTAGTTTGTTCCAATGGTTATTCACCCTCACTGTCAGAAACGTGTGCCTTATTTCTAACTTGCCTTTGCCTGACTTCAGCTTCCAGCGCTTGGTTCTTGTTGTGCCTTTCTGCACTAGATGAAAGAGCTCTGTAGTGCCTGGTATTTTCTCCCAATGAAGGTACTTCTCTATTGTGATCAAGTCACTTCTCAATCTTCTTTGCGATAAGCTAAACAGATTGAGCTCGAAGTCTCTCATTGTCAGGCATTTTCTCCAGCCCTTGAATCCTTTTTCGGGCTGTTTTCTGCACCCTCTCCAATTTGTCAACATCCTTTTTAAAATGTGGAGCCCAGAACCGGATGCAGTATCCCAGTACTAGCAGTCTCCCCGGTGCTCTATACAGAGGTAAAATCACTTCCCTACTGCCCTGTTTGCACACCCAGGATCACGTTAGCCCTTTTTTGCCACAGCATCGGACTGGGAGCTCGCACGAGTTACTTGTCCACTTGGTACAGGGGTAGCCGTGTTAGTCTGTATCCACAAAAACAACGAGGAGGCAGAAGCATGCGGAGGTGCCAGTCCTTAAGGTGCCACCCGACGCCTCGTTGTTTTTGGCCACTAGGACTCTAAATCCTTTCCAGATTCATTGATTTCCGGGATAAGTCCCCCATTCTGTAGGGATGGTCTGCATTCCTTGTTTCTAGATCTATCACTTTGGGTGTGGCTGTATTTAAATGCATTGTGTTTGAATGGACCCATTTTACCAAGCAATCCAGATTGCTGTGTGTGACTGCCCTGTCCTCATCACTAGTCCACACCCTGCTAATTATTGTGTCACCCACAGCTTTGATCAGCGGTGATTTGATATTTATGTCCAGATCACCGATGAATGTGTTAAATAGCACTGGCCCTAGTGCCAGTCCCTAGAGAGCCCCACTAGAAACACTCCCCTTCAGTGATGCTGATGCACCATTGACAACTACTTTTGGAGCTATGTCCGCTTGCCAGTTCTTAATCCTTTTTGTTGTCAGATGCTACCGGTGTGGTGCTCTGCTTTCTCCTATGTTGATATCACTCGGCTGCGTGCATGTGTCCCTCTGTGTGCTGCCCCAGCTCTGCGCAGATAGCCGACCCAGCAGACCCGAAGAGAACCCCCAATAACCACAGAGTCTCGTAAGATGCAAAGTCACGTCGACTAGGTTTATTGCGACCTTGGACACAATTGCAGTTCCCTGTAGGTTTCTTAGCCTAACTCAGGGCATACTACGAGAAAGTGCCTCTTGGCAAGGACCCGGCTCAGTGGCGGGACTTTCCACTGCCCCCGTGGCCGGACAAAGACACCATCCCAGGGATGCATTCTTATACACAGGTACAAACAAGTTACACATCACTCCTGACGTATTGAGGTGCAACCCCTCTACGCAGCAAGGTACAACCCCTCTACGTAGTAAGGTGCCGCCTCTCACCTTGTACATGTTGGTTCGATCAAAACAACTCTATCCATCATTTTACCCTTTTGCCCCTGTCGTTGGGATGGGTCGGCCTGTTCCATGTTATCTGTGGAATGTTCCAGTATAGTGTGTTCTGTACTTTAACTTTGCTAGGTGAATATATATTTATGCAACATCAGCCCTTTTCCTGCCAGCTTCTGTGAGCAGGGCCTGCCTCTGGCTCACAGCTTAACTTTGCTTTATGTTAGCAAAGTCTTGACCATTACTTTAGTTCAGGCCTTAAGCCTCATACCGGGCCTCTGATACCAAGGTTTATATCTCAGGGCCTCCTCTTACTACACTTTTAGTTGGGGTTTTATTGCTATCGTACAGTGCTCATTTTGTAATCAGAATGTCATGTGGTACTAAGTCAACCCCCTCACAAAAGTCTATTATATTTAGAATTATCTTTGTCAACCAAACATGTAATCACACCACAAAATGACATCATGGTTTGTAACAAGACCTATTTTCCATAAAACCATCTTAACTGGAATTAATTATATTCCTATCATTTAATTCTTTATCAACTGAAACCTGTATCAGCTTTTCCATGATTTTATCCAGGATTGACATTAGGCTACCTGGCCTGTAGTGCTCCAGGTCATCCCACTTGCCTTTTTTTAATATTGGCACAATGTTACCACTCCTCCAGACTTCTGGAATTTTCCTGATAGTTCAAGATTTATTAAAAATTAACATCAGCGGACCAAACTTAGGTCTCTTGGGTGCAAGTTATTTAGGCCCGCTGATTTTAAAATGTTTATCCCTAGGAGATATTGTTTAACATCCTCTTTGGTTACTAATGGATTGGAAAGTACTCCATCATCCTCATATGATATGAGTACATCATCCTGCTTCTTTCCAAATACGGAACAGAAATATTTATTGAACACTTCTGCCTTTTCTGCATTATTATTAGTGGAGGGAGGGATAGCTCAGTGGTTTGAGCATTGGCCTACTAAACCCAGGGTTGTGTGAGTTCAATCCTTGAAGGGACCACTTAGGAATCTGGGGCAAAAATCAGTACATGGTCCTGCTAGTGAAGGCAGGGGCTGGAGTCAATGACCTTCCAGTTCTATGAGATAGGTATATCTCCATCTAGTAATGGGCCTATACTATTGTTGGATTTCTTTTGTTCTTAATACACTTAAAAAACTCCTTCTTATTGTCCTGATTCATGTCAGCTATGGATGTTTCCAGCTTCCCTTATCAATTTTCTACACTTCATAACTTCTAATTTGCATTGATTGCTATCTAGTCCCTTTTTTCCCCATTTGTTATACTGTATATTATTTTTTATTTCTAATTTATGCCTTCAATTCACCCCTGAACCAGGATGGCCTTTTAACCAAAGTCATCTTCTTTCTTGATTGTAGAATTGTGGCTTTTTGGCCACCTAATAAACTCTTCTTAAAGAACTCACAATTTTTCTTCAAATTTTTCTGTCTACATTTTTCATCACAACCAATTTCCTTTAGTCTAGGGAAAATTTGCCCTTTTGAAGCACCAAGAATATATATTACTAGTTGGGACTGTCCTCTGTTTGCCCATGTTGAATGTAATGTGCATGATCATGTGATCTTATTGTTCCCCTCATCCCCACATCTCCATCTTCCCTCCTATTGTTTTTTATACTTATGTTTTGTTCTAATTAGATTGCAAGCTCTTTGGGGCATGGACTCTCTCTCTATGTTTGCACAGCCCCATGTATAGTGTGGCCCTGATCCGGCCTCCAGCCTCTGGGTGCTACCACCTTACAAATAATAATTATGAAAAGATGATTTCTCTGATGTAATCTGGAGGTCGGTGCTCATCTGACAGAAAGCGTCACAGTCTGGTAGCACTGTGCAAAACTGGTGAAAAATGTCTCTGTGAAATCTTGCAGAAACATTTTTGTGTGATCTTGGGCCCCTCATATTTCACTTTTCTGCTCATCCAGACCGTGCCTAAATATTGCTTTTTCTTTCATAACATTTAAAAAAATGTTTAAAAACCTTTCTGTTCTATCTCACCATCTGAAACTCTCATCTGTGCGCCAATAGTCTCCAATCCTGATTACCACAGTCTTCTCTGTTTCAGCTTCCACAACGCCTTATTGGGCCTTTCCAATTCATCCAAAATGCAGCTGCTAAGGGCCAGGAAGCCATGGAGGAAAGCACTGACTTCACTTCTGGAAATGATCACGAAATTGCCAGAGAACTCTGGGGGAGGGATAGCTCAGTGGTTTGAGCATTGGCCTACTAAATCCAGGGTTATGAATTTGTGAGTCCCTATAAATTATGAAAGCTGGGAGCTGCAGGAGTATGAAGTAAATATGCCTCAGCTACTTCCTACTTCTGGAAAATCAAATTGTCATCAGAATAAGACAAATGATGACAGCAGCTCGAGAGAGTGATTCTAGATGGATGGTGTGACAGTGTACCCCATAAGGCTTTATGGGGAGGGGGTGCGTAT